ATCAGAAAATTTGGGACACTACTGAGTTACATGACATTACAGTACAAGTTCTCATATGTCCTGAGTCTTAATTGACCTTAGAAGGCTAAGGCCAAAATGTTGGCTTTCCTTGAGGACCTCCTTTTTCTTTAATTTTAGTCTGCAAACTTAGGTTGTTAACCCTCCAGAAGAGCTTATTGTTATTACCATACAACCTAGGCTGTTAAGCTTAACCTCACTATCTGTCTGAATATCAAACATCATAGGAATAACATGGAACAGGTATTTTTCATCAGGTATTGATATGTTGAACTTTAAGTCCCTATAGAATATGATGAAAAAACATTTAAAAATTAGAATATATTTTAAAAATAGGCATAAAAAATTATATAATTCTTATGTTTACACGTAAGTCCAGAAATCTAACCATATACAACCTTGAAGCAGGATAGTCCCACAACATTTATTTTCCTGTCTCCTGCCTTCATTTACCACCCCCTTCTTTTTGAACAATAATCTGCCTCAGAGACAGCACAGCAGCAACTGGCATGTTGGACATGCAGACCATATTCATGACAAGCAGCCCGTATTCAGAAGACTAGAATGACAGGTACTCCAAGCATGAACCTACTATTACAAATTGCCATCTTCAGTGCAGTTGCTTAGTTCACAGGTGTCAGTATATATAGGTATTCAGGGTGAGAATCTTCCCAATTAACTGCTAGATTCAAAAATCTTCTAAAGATTCTCAGGATCATTGCCTTACCCATCTTCTACATATAACTGTATGGCTTGTCACTGTCATGTTTCCTAGCTAGCTCTTCTCCTTTCCCTCTCTTAATTAGTTTGTGCTCAAGGTCCTGCTTTCCTTCTACTTGTATAATACCTTTCTATTTGTATTTCTTCTTTTGAATTCTTGTACTAGTGAAATTATACAATATTTACACATGTGTGTCTGGTTTATTTCACTTATGAGTATATCTTCAAGTGACATCCACTTCAATATAAAGGCTTTGAGTTTATCATTCTTTATAGCTTAGTAATACTCCATTGTATAAAAATACCACATCTTTTTCATCCATTATTCAGGTGATGGGCATCTTGGTTGTTTCCAAGATTTGGCTATCACAAATTGTGCTGCTATAAACATAGGTACGCATATATCACTATGGTATGATGTTTTCAGATCCTCCAGGAAAATTGCCAGTAGAGGAATAGCTGGTTTCAATGGAATTTCCAGTCCAACTTTTCTAAGGAGTCTCCACACTGATTTCCATAGCGGTTGTACCAGTCTACATTCCCATCAGCAGTGGAGAAGGGCTCCTTTTTCCCCACAGCCTCTCCAACATTTGTTGTTGGGTGATTTCTTTATGATAGCCATTCTTTCTGGGGTGAGATGATATCTCAATGTTGTTTTAATT